TAGGTCGACAGCCCTAGCGTGAAACATCAGTGCTGCATGAGGATGGTGTACTCCTGACGGACTCCGATGGTATCCGGGATCGGTTTTTCAGGCACTTTGGCGGCGTCTTGAATGTCGAGAGCCAGTACGATCCAGCTGTCTTGACAGCTATCCCGGATGAGCCACTGCAGACCGAGCTGGATGATCCCCCGACGAAGGCAGAGATGCTTGCGGCGATGCGCTCCATGAAAGTTGGAAAGTCCGGTGGGGAATCAGGTATCCTTCCCGAAATGATTATCTCGGGTGGCGAGGAGCTCCATGATCGTCTGGTTCGGCTCATGCATTTGGTGTGGGATGAGGCATCGGTTGTCGCTGAGTGGCGGGATGCCATCGTTGTTCCAATACCTAAGAAAGGCAACTTGAAAGTTTGTGATAACTGGAGGGGTATCAGCCTTTTGGATGTTGTTGGGAAGTTGTTTGCGCGGATTCTTCAGAACCGGCTGCAGACAATCTCGGAGAAGATGCTTCCCGAGTCACAGTCTGGTTTTCGCAAGGGCAGAGGGTGTGCAGACATGATCTTTGTTGCCAGGCAAATAATTGAGAAATCTTACGAACATGACTCGCCGTTGTATGCTCTCTTTGTCGATTTGCGAAAGGCATACGACTCGATCCCCCGTCCAGCGCTGTGGTGTTTGCTCCAGAAGTTTGGTGTTCCCCCAAGGATGCTCAGTATCATCAAGTCCTTGCATGAGTCGATGGAGGTGAAGGTCCGCATCGAGGGTGGTGTCACTGCTGCCATTAACGTCAACAACGGTCTGCGTCAGGGTTGTACTTTGGCACCCGTCTTATTTAACTTGTATTTCTCTGCAGTCGTTGGGTATTGGCGCTCCATGTGCCCGGACGCTGGTGTTGAGCTGCACTACCGAGTTGGCCGAAAGTTGGTTGGGGACCGCACTGCCAAGTCCCGCCTGCAACGTGATGTCATCACAGAGTCCCAGTTTGCGGACGATGCTGCAGTGTATGCCACCACTAAGCCGATTTTTGATCGGTGCACGGAATTGTTCATTTCGTGTGCGGCGCGGTGGGGCCTCACGGTCAGTCTATCGAAGACCAAATGCATGACTGTCAATTCGCCCATGAATGAGCCGGTGTCTCTTGGTGAGAGCACCATCGAGGCCGTTGACAGTTTTACGTACCTTGGCAGCGTCATCCATCGGGACGGGCAGTCTTCGCATGATGTGCAGTCCCGTCTCGCCAAGGCTTCGCGTGTGTTCGGCAGTCTCCGTGTCCCAGTGTTTGAGAATCGGTCGTTATCTCTCCGCTGTCGGCGCCGCGTGTACGTCGCCCTTGTGCTGACGACCCTCCTGTACGGAGCAGAGACGTGGACGCCGAAGGCACCGGACCTGCGCTCTCTCAACACCTTTCATCACCAGTGTGTTCGCATCATCGTTGGCGTATCCAGGCGGGACCAGTGGGACAACCGCGTCACCTCGGTTACCATGGCCCGAACCCTCGGCATTGACTGTGACGTCGCGGACATCATCCGGGAATATCGACTGCGTTGGCTTGGCCATGTTGGCCGGATGAACGACGACCGCATGCCGAAGCGAGTTTTGTTTGGGGAGCTCCCTGCAACACGCCCTCGCCATGGTCCACGCAAGCGGTGGCGTGACGTCATCGTGGATGATCTCCGCTCCATCAGCCCCCCTGTGCCTTCTGACTGCTGGTTTGATGCTGCCCAGGATCGCTCTGTCTGGAGGCGGATCGCTCATCGTCGTCCTCCCGCCCGTGCTCCTCCTGATCCTGACTCTGGCTTCCGCTGCGCATGTGGAAAGGTCTGCCGTCGTCCCGGGGACCTCAAGCGCCACGCTCCGTACTGCAAAGCTAGCGGATAGTCCCTTCGCTATCATTGGCCACGGCTGTTTCAGCCAGCGATTTTTGGCCATCTAACATGGCGGGGGGTACCCGTTGATTTTTGCAAAAAATCAAAGATTAATCATTTTTACGTTGAGATTAAGGTGAGTTGCTATCATTCTTCCGCGATTTACCGCCGCTAGCCCCACATTTTTGATACTAAATCCGCGGGAGTGGAAAGCTGACGCGCACAGCAACATTTTGGTACCAAACATTCCTTGATCGGACGAAGGAGAAGGAAGTTGCTTTCTGTTTTGGCGCAGTGGAATTATCGACTGAAATTGCTGTCAGTATATTGTTAGCTACCTTCATCACGCTCGTGGTACGTCTTCTGGAGTTATTCAGTCACCACTCGAGGTTTTCCTCGCATCCTCGGGTAGTTGTCCGTTATATTTTCGCAAGTTCTTTTGAATACGATTGTGAAATCAAAAATACGATGGGCCTTTACTTTTCTCTGTTTCCAGTGGGAGATATGCACATCTGCGACGCATCGCACGACATGGAGCACCATGCAGCGCATTTACAGCATCTATGCCGTGTTGGAGGCGCAAAATTTACTGCGTGCTCCCAACAGACGAGATATCCAGTGTCTGACTACACTGAAACGATGAAAAACGTATTCAGTATTGATGTTTGTAATGACGACCCTACCATTCACCCAACATATATCTGTGCTCTTTGCCAAAGAGTGCTGAAGAGATCACAGAGCACAGAGAAGTTCAATCCCAGTGGCGGTGGTTGTGGACAAGGGGTAACATTTAGTTAGAAAAGACATGAACCTGTGATTTGCAGAGTCTGCACCAAGTTTCAAGAAAAATCGAAGGGTGGCCGACCAAGCAAACGGATAAAAACAGCAAGCGGAGCATGCAGCAAAAATGACATCAAGCAGTAGCAGTGCATGTGCATCTAGCAATAAAAGGAAAAAGTAAATTATCGTGTCCGTTCCTGAAGGGAACTCACGACGGCCGCTAACACCCGGTAAACCCTATGCATCTAGCAATAGCATGGATATACCTGAAAGTGAGGCGCATGACATATCTGCACCTGATTATGAAGCAGAGTGCAATTTGACTATGTCAAGATTTGCCGACAGCAGTGCAGCAGCCACAGTACAATGCATGATCTGCCGCAGCATGCCGAGCAATGGTGTTCGGTCACCATGCTGTTCTAGAGTATTTTGCACGAAATGCATATGCCAAACATTAACCAACGGTGCGCAGTGTCCAGCCTGCCAACATACCCTGCGTGCTTCAGAACTGGCAAAGCCAAGCGACCTGTTCTGTCAACTGCTTGCGAACTGGTCCGTCCACTGTGGATCAAACTCGGTGGTGATCACGGCGGAGGATCTTTCAAGTTTGTCCTGCAGATCGTGAATGTGCAGCGGCCGAATTCACTCCTCAACACTATCCCGATTTGCATCTTCGAGGCACAAGACACGCCATCGAACCTTGAAACCGCGCTAGGAGTCTATCGTGACGAGGTCAGAGATCTGCAAACAACAGCAACATGGAAGAACAAGTCGTTCAAATTGTTTTTCTTTGGCGACTACGAATATCAAACGAAAGCATAATGGTTTGTCGGGGTCCAGTGGCACCCGACCATGCTTACACTGTCTATGTCAGAAGAAGAATATGGACATTCCACCAGCCCTAAACCCAGATGCCGATTCTACCAGCAGAACACTAGAAACTCTGTACAACGATTTCACTGGATTCACGAACAGTGGCTCAAATCTAAAGAATGCAAAGAACTACAACAACAGCATACGCCCAGTGATCTTACCTATTCCCGAGGAGAATGTTGTAATCCCGGCTCTTCATCTGGATCTGGGTATTTTCCCATGGATGCTGACTGCTTTTCAGGCTGAGCTCAAAGCCCTCGACATTGAGCTTGCCAGAAGAACAGCTGCTGCAGACACCGCCGTTCCTGCCGCCGTTGCTACTACAGCAGACACCGCCGCTGTTTCTGCTGCCACTGCCGTCGTTCCTGCTGCCACTGCCGCCGTTCCTGCTGCCACTGCCATCCCTGCAGCCGTCCCTGCAGTCGTTCCTGCTGCCGTCCCTGCAGCCGTCCTTGCAGCCGTTCCTGCTGCCACTGCCGTCCTTGCTGCCACTGCCGTCCCTGCAGCTGCTCCTGCAGCCACTGTCGCTCCTGCAGGCGTTCCTGCTGCCACTGTCATCCTTGCAGCCATTGCTGCTACAGCAGTAGCTGGTGATGCTGGCAGCTTTGAAAAGCTTTCGTCACTGCATGAAGCCAGCAAAACGGATGAGGAGATTTCTGCAGTTACCCAACAACTACATGTAGTGCAGCAGCAAGTCCAATACACTGTTCTCTTTTCTCAGCTTGATACCTGCTGCCACAGTGGAGAGCGTGACACAACACCTACAAGACCAGTGGAAGAATGGTGATGCACGCCGTACTGTATTGCTTGCGTGGAGACAGTCACTCACCGACCAAATGGCCGCAATAAAACAGAACAAAAAGTGTGAGGGGCCATGTTGAGCAAGCATCGAGCCAGTTTTCCAGCGCAATGGAATCGATAGGCAAGCATACCATGGAGGTGCTTTTGTGGGCAACCATGTGCACATACATGTAGCTCTTCAGCCAGCAGTGACAACTGAAATAACCCCAGCACATTTATCTGCAGTAGCTTCTCGTGCGCCGCTGCTGCTCTGCTGCTCCCAGAGGCAAATCGAATTCATGAGGATTACCAGCACCTGATGTCCCTGTATGGCGAGTGCACTGCCCTCTTCAGCCACTGCAGGCCTGTGGACGAGGCCACCATATCCAAGCTAGAAGGCTTGGTGGAGACATTTATGACTGCATGCCGAGATATCGTCGTCAGCAAAAAGCTCGGCCACATCACGCCGAAATTGCACATGTTGGAGGTGCATGTCGTGCCGTCCATCCGACGGCGAGGCGTTGGTCTTGGTCTCCTCGCAGAGCAAGGGAGTGAGAGCATTCACGCCCGCTTCAACGAGCTAAGGAGACACCACGAGGCCATCCGCAATCCCTTGGAGCGCCTCAAGTCTGTTGCACAGACGCATTTGATTGCAACTCGCAGCTCACCCACAACCTCTTCTTGTCGGGTGTATTTACCGCCCACCGAGTCAGTCACTAGCTTACTGGCAGACTTTCGAGGCCATGTTACACAAGGCATCGGGAGAAGCCAAGAATATTCTGCTTTGTGGTGACTTTAATGTTGATCTGGTCAGTCAATCTCCCACATCCCAGCATGCCTCCTTGCATGACATCACAACCAGCTTAGGCCTGCATCAACTTGTAAAATCTCCAACACGCATAACGCTGCAAGGGAGCTGCACTCTATTAGATCATGTCTATAGTACAGCTCAAGTCATATCCCCGCCTGATGTGTGTCCAGTTCCGTTCAGCGACCACTGTGCTATTGCAACCAAGATTTGTGTTAAACCAGTGCCGACAGCATTGCCTTCTCACCGACTTTATCGAAACTTCAAGAGAATGGACTTGGCATCACTTCGTATGAATATTTCTTGCGCCAACCTCTGTGAACTTCGTGGGTCCTGCGATGACATGTGGCAACAGTGGCTGACTAAGGTTGTGCCCATTCTTGATGCTCATGCTCCATTGCGCCACGCGTCTTCCCGACCAAGACAGCATTCACCATGGGTCAATGAACATTTGTTCCTGTTGATACGACGACGTAACCACGCTCATCGGAAATGGCTGCAATCTAAGTGCCAGACTGATTACGCTGCGTTTAAAGAAGCCAGGCGTATCGTGACTCGTATGAACCGTGAATTGAAGACGAATTTTTTTCAGTCTCACCAGTGTTCAAGGTAATCCCAGGAAAACGTGGAAGGTTTTGAACGAGTTATCCGGAAGACAACGTGTTCAATCCGTTCCACAATGCTCTGCAAGCAACATTGGGTGTGTATTTGCTGATGTTGTCAGTGATCAACAACGAGCACCTGAACTGTGTCTTCCACAGGGCCCAGTGGGACCTAAGGGTTTTACATCCTTCAGTTCGGTGTCAATAGGTTGTGTGCGTAAACTGTTGGGTTCCTTGGACACCAGCAAAGCGACAGGCAGTGATGGAATACCCGCATTTCTTCTGAAATCCTGCGCTGATTTGCTAGCTCCCTCCTTAACATTGATATTTAATGCATCTCTTGCTGTTGGTTCTGTGCCGGACGGCATGAAGTTGGCACATGTCACGCCGGTATTCAAGGCTGGAAATCCTCAAGATCCGGGAAATTATCGCCCTGTGTCTCTCCTGCCAATTGTGTCGAAGCTGTTAGAACGAATTGTCCATAGACAACTATCCTCATTTCTGGACAAGGAGAATTTGTACCCTCCCTGTCAGTTTGGCTTTAGACGTCAACATTCAACGGAAGACGCTCTGGTTTTCGTCACGGACACGTTTGTTCGCGCTCGCGATGCCGGACAACATACTGGTGCTGTGCTCGTGGATATGTCCAAAGCATTTGACAAGGTCAGGCACCAAGTGCTCATTAATGATTTGTTTGAGCTTGGCATATCTGGTTCAGCATTAGTTTGGTTTGCCGACTATTTGTCCAATCGTCGCCAAATAGTGCACATTGCTGAGAACTATAGCCCTCCTTTCCCCTGCATGTGTGGCGTTCCCCAGGGCTCTGTTCTTGGTCCGCTGCTTTTTGTACTCTATGTTCGTTCGATCCAGTCCATTGTCTCCGAGTTTTGTGTGAAAGTTATTCAATTTGCTGACGATATTCTATTGTATGTTTGCGGTACGCAGAAGAATGCGCTTAGCAACTCCCTGTCTGCAGCTGTCTCAGCCATTAGTACCTGGCTGTCAAACCGCAATTTAATTCTAAATGCCCGGAAGACACAAGTGCTCTTCCTGTCTACGCCACATATTACTGACCACCAATTTGCAGTCTACTGTCATGGAGTGCAGCTCAAGCAAGTGACATGTGCAAAGTACCTTGGAATACATTTGGACCAGGATCTTTCTTGGAGAACTCAAGTTGATTCTATGGTCACCAAACTTGCCAGTAAAATTGGTATTCTGTTCCGAAATCGACACAATATTCCGCTGACTTGCCGAGAAACCTTTGTAAAGTGCCTAGTGTTGCCAGATTTTCTATATGCATCAAATTGTTTTTCTGCTGGCCTTTCCTTAACCCAGTTAGGTAGGCTTGAACGAATGCTAAAGCGAGCTTTGCGTTCAGTGTATGATACTGGTTTTTGTAGCCCATCAAGCCCTTTATTTGCGAGACTTGGTCTAGATCGTTTGGCATCCATGTATTGCAAGAAATTACTGTATCTGACGTGGCGCTGTTTGGAAGGCCGCTGTAGTGTCACATTAAGTCAAATGTTCGAGCGTTTAAATAATGGTCTTGCAACGCGCAGCCTTTTATCACGCACTCTTAAGTTGCCCATGCTCAGAACTGCCTTTGCCCGTCATGGCGCTTCCTTCCAATGTGCTAAGCTGTGGAATGATTTGCACCCTCGAGCTCGCTGTGTGGATAATTCCGCCCGTTTTAAGAAACTGTTACCCCAAAGCCTTGCTTTTTCACGCTAGTAATTATGCCTTTCAGCTATGCAAAATGCGAACATGATCACCTATCCAATACCGGTAGTCTA